TCGTTTTATGCGACATTTATTGTAGATCTTATGCACACACAGGTCATTTTCTTTTTAAAAAATATAATTTAAGAAACGATAGAGGTCAAATGTCGATATAAATTCAGAAATTTGAAATACGTTTTTGTATCACCAAATGAAGATTATCTCTAAAATTAGTACTTATCAGTTGACGTTATCGTTATCGGTGTTTCAATGAAAAACTAAAAATGACTAAATTTCTATAAATTAACTTGTTTAAAGCTTTGGCTGTTTTCATTTAGCAATTAAAGATTACAATTTTGATAATCTTTAGTTTATTACATTTTTTTCAAGAATATATCAAATTGTTCATATATATAGTAGGTGGAGAATCAAGAGTATCACATTTAAACAGAAAATACATAATTTTTGTTTTTTTTTTCGTATCTTTATCATAAAATTTTACTTGAATATGACAAACGTTATATACGATCGTGAAACTTTGCTCAGAACAGTATCTACTTTTCCTTTAATTGACAATCACTGTCATAACCTTTTAACGCCTGATGCATCGTTGACTTGTCCATTGGAAATATGCTTTTCAGAGGCTCAGGGTGATGCATTAAAAGATGTGCCTCAAACTAGTGCCTTTAAACGAGGTATACGCCAGCTTGCTGAACTTTATAATTGTCCACCAACCTTTGATGATATCAAAAAAGTGAGGGATCCAAAGTCACATATTGATATATGTAAAACTTGCTTTGAACCTACTGGCATTCAGTCCTTGCTTTTGGATGATGGGCTTAACCCGTTAGGTGGCCTTATGGATGTACAAAGCCACGTAGGATTAGTTGACGTAGCGCGAAGAATCGTGAGAATTGAAAGTATTGCAGAAAAGATTTTATATGATTTGGCAACATCTGTAGCTAGTACAGATCAAAGAGTGTTGAATTTTGCTGCATTCGAAGAACCATTGAAAAAGCAACTTGAAATCTGTGCAAAATCTGAATCAGTAGTGGGCTTCAAAAGTATTGCTGCTTATAGGACAGGATTGAATATCGATTGTGTTCCAAATGCTGAAGCTGCTGCGATTGCTTTGGGAAACTTTATTTCGGACTTTGAGTCATTACATGATAAGAAAGGACCTGTTAGACTTGCTAATAAAGTTCTAATTGATCACATATTGAACTTAGCAATCGATATCGCTGCCCAGCACGATATTCCTATCCAATTTCATACAGGCACGCTACATAAATATTGTATTTTGCTTTAAATTGAATCTTATCGATTATTAAATATGTACTCTATTAATTACATAGGATTTGGTGATTCTGACCTTGATCTGATTGCATCTAATCCACTTTTGTTACGGTATGAATATTTTTATACCATATACCATATACTTGTTCGAACAATTTCAAACCAACATCTGTATCCTTATGATTACTCTTTGCACACTTCTATTAAAGACCTTTGATTGAAAAATACTCCAATGCAAAGTTCGTTCTTTTACACGCTGCGTATCCCTACTCCCGCCAGGCGGGATACCTGGGTTCAGTATATTCCAATGTATATGTTGACATCGGTCTCGTTTTTCCTATTATTTCCGCATCCGGTCAGCAGACCAGTTTACGCGAGCTGGTAATTTATACATGTTTCATATTGAAATCTTTTTAAAATTTAATAATAAATGGTTTTATTTTTAAATAGTTGGAGATTTGTCCAAGTAATAAAATATTATTTAGTACAGGTACTATAAAGTCATCTTTTTAATAAGGTCAACTCTTTTTATAACGAACGGACCGTTCTTATAGTAAAAAAAAAAAAAAAAAATTCCGAAAAATAATTTACTATCCACTTTTCTGTACCAACTCTATAATAATTTTATTTTAAAAAAAAGTTCATTATAGAGTGAGTTCATTATTAAAAAAAAAGCTTGTTATATCCTGAGTTGACATATATTATATAGTTAATATATTTTCTAAAAAAAAAAAAAATACTATAAAAACCAGATGGCCATTACCATCCAGAATCTTTCTATGTCGCCGCAATTCAAGGAAGAGAGACTTTAGGCAAGGTAATATAAATTATTGTATTCACATTTGAATAATATTATTTAAGACTAACACCACTTTTCTTTTGAATAATGGTCATTTCTAAGGTTTTATTAGATTCTGTAGAAAATGGTGAATTGTCTTATGAAGAAACAATAAAAATCGCTAAACAAATTATGTTCGAGAATTCCAATACACTATATAAACTCAATTTAACACCGAAACAGACCGATAATGAAGGTATTTCTGAAGAAAAAAATCACCTTTATTACTATTATTATAATTATGATTATTATTATTTTGAATTTTAATGTTAATGTATAATTTATCACTGTTTAAGGATATAAAGATGTTTCAGGGGAACAAAAAATCGTTAAATTAAAAAAAATGGGTGTGAAGTTTGTTCGTGTCGGCTACATGGAATGCTCTAGTCAATATAGATTTCATATCGTTCCCATTGATCGTTTCCAAAGCTACACCGCTAGTCATGGAGTGACAATTATGCGAGCTCTCACAGCTTTACCTTATTACGGAGATGTAGTTCCAGAGACTGTTGGTGTCACCGCATCTGGTGAATTATTAATGAAACCTGACCTTAGCACACTCATACATTTACCTTATAATCCTAAACATGCAAGCGTCCAAGTTTTCTTTGAAAATAAATTGACACCAGCAGATCCTGAATATGGAAAGATTGATAATTTACCTAATTTTTTGGCTTATCCTCTTTGTCCTAGAACTTGTCTTAAAAATATTATTGATTATGCCCTTAAAGAGTTTAATATCACTTTTTTGGTTGGAACTGAACTTGAGTTCGTCTTACTTAAAGAAACCACGCCTCCGGTGCCCGTTGATGATACTGTTTATGCTGCCGCTAGTTCTTTTCGTGGTTCTACTTCCGAAATATTGGATAAGATGGTTGAATCTTTGCAAGAGCAAGGGATTGAAGTCGAACAATTTCATTCTGAAGCAGCACCAGGTCAATTTGAAATTGTCACTGGACCAGAAAGTCCATTGATTACGGCAGATAGAATGGTTGTAGCACGTCAAACAATATATGATGTTGCTGCTCAATCTGGTATAAAAGCAACATTTGTGCCTAAACCCTTTAAAGATCAAGGTTTATTTTTGGTTTAATCTATAAATAAGTTTACATGCTTTCGAAAATTCTTTACACTAGTATTTACATAAACTTTTGTTATAAACAATAATTAAGCGGGAAATGGTGCACATGTGCATCTATCTTTCAAAGAAATCGACAAGTCTGAGAAAATTGATGACGGTCACCCTTCAGGACTATCCCCATATGAAAGATCATTCATTGCTGGTGTGCTGTATCATATAAAGG